AACAAATAAACTGCCCAACAAATACCCTTAAACAAAGGAAAAGTACGTCCTTTATGAAGGCATAGAGCCACTACATGAAAATGAAAATTAATGAATACACTGTGTACAGTAATTTACCTGATAAGACAGACCTCAGAAAAATACTTTATGAGAGCTTTTATACTTTTATAAAGCTGTCTATAATGAAAATTAATTAACTAAGGATTTTTTGCCCTGCCAAGGTGTGGACCAGTTATCCGGAGTGCTAAGTTATCGAGGGACGAGTTTTCGAGGTTCTACTGTATTACATTAAGCTACTCAGACAAACTGTATATTACTCATTTAAAATTGAGCTTCAGATTGAAAAAAACTGTAGACCTATAAATTCCTACTGATGTTCATCTATCTGTCTTTCCTTAATCTCAGGAATGGAGTTAGATAGGTGAAAGACAAGACCAGATTTGAAAACCTTAGGAGGCTCTGATTAACTATATACAAATTTCTGATGCAAACCAGAAATCATGTTATTTCAATTCAAAAATTTTCCGCTAAAAGGTGTTAGACAGATGACTGACACCTATTGTTAAAGGAAAAGTATGATGTACAGGGCAAGCACTTCTGATTTGAGGTGGAGAGCATATACTTTAATTTTTATTAGAGCATAAGTTTAATTTATTTAATTTATATAATACTGTACATAATTTATATAAAATGTATAATTTATTATTTATTTAATTTATTATAATAATTAAATATATAATAAATAATATAAAATAAATGTTATATAATTTATATAAAATAAAAATTGCATCGTGGCATTGTGATGATGTCACAATAAATAATTGCTTGTTTGATATAACACATCACTCAATAAGTCTCCGGTCTGACGCATATATGGCAACACTGTTGACAGACTCATATGATTTCTGGATAGTACCAACCTTCAAATGATATGTCAAAAGTTCATGACATTCTGACAATTAGTTTACAGAAGTTTTAGTGACCCCATTTTGTAATTTTCAAAACAATGGATAAAAAAGAATTTCGTGTATTGATTAAACATTGTTTTTTGATGGGGAAAAATACTGTTGAAGCCAAACAGTGGCTTGATAAGCATTATGGAGACTTTGCACCAGGGAAATCAACTATTATTGACTGGTATACTGAATTTAAATGCGGTCGTACAAACACTGATGATGCTGAACACTGTCACCCAAAATTGGCAGCTGTTCAGGAAAACAAAAAAAAAGTCCACAAAATAGTTTTGAGAGACTGTAAAGTGAAGTTGCGTGACATAGCTGACACCTTAAAGATATCAAAAGGTAGTGTGATTACAATTTTACACAAAATTTTGAGCATGCATAAGTTGCTTTTGAAGTGGGTGCCGCGTTTGCTCATACCGGACCAAAAACAATGTGTCAACGATTCAGTGCGCTCTTTGGAGCTGTGCAAGTGAGATAAAGAGGATTTCTTGCGTTGGTATGTGACAATGGATGAAACATGGATCCATTACTACACACCTGAATCAAAAAGATCATCAGCTGAGTGGACAGCAACCAGTGAAAGTCACCCAAAGTGACCAAATACTCAACAGTCAGCTGGCAAGGTTATGGCATCCGTATTTTGGGATGCGCATGGTATTTTGTTCATTGACTATCTTGAGAAAGGTAAAACTATCAATATCAAGTATTACATGGCACTATTGGATCGATTGAGTGTAGAAATCAAGAAAAATGCCCTCACATGCAAAAGAAAAAAGTGCTGTTCCACCAAGACAATGTCCCATGTCACAAGTCGATGAAAACNTGATGATGCTGAACACTGTCACCTAAAATTGGCAGTTGTTCAGGAAAACATAAAAAAAAAGTCCACAAAATAGTTTTGAGAGACTGTAAAGTGAAGTTGCGTGACATAGCTGACACCTTAAAGATATCAAAAGGTAGTGTGATTACAATTTTACACAAAAATTTGAGCATGCGTAAGTTGCTTTTGAAGTGGATGTCGTGTTTGCTCACACCGGACCAAAAACAATGTGTCAACGATTCAGAGTGCTCTTTGGAGCTGTGCAAGTGAGATAAAGAGGATTTCTTGCATCGGTATGTGACAATGGATGAAACATGGATCCATTACTACACACCTGAATCAAAAAGATCATCAGCTGAGTGGACAACAGCCAGTGAAAGTCGTCCAAAGCGACCAAATACTCAAAAGTAAGCTAGCAAGGTTATGGCATCCATATTTTGGGATGCACATAGTATTTTGTTCATTGACTATCTTGAGAAAGGTAAAACTATCAATAGCAAGTATTACATGGCACTATTGGATCGATTGAGTGTAGAAATCAAGAAAAATGCCCTCACATGCAAAAGAAAAAAGTGCTGTTCCACCAAGACAATGTCCCATGTCACAAGTCGATGAAAACAATGGTTAAATTGAATGAATTACGCTTCGAATTGCTTCCTCACCGACCATACTCTCCAGATCTGGCCCCCAGTGACTACTGGCATTTTGCAGATATCGAAAATATGGTCCAGGGAAAGAAATTTGGCTCAAATGAAAAAGTGATTGCCGA